GTCCTAATAACTCATTGAACATGAAGCCATGACAAGCAATGGAGAGGTTTTAAGTGTTAATTAAAATATATTTAAATCAAATTACTCTCAGTGCTCATGAAACACATCTTACTCCATGCGCATTCACCAGAAGCCCCATACCCTATGCATTGCTTATTCTGCATATGAGCAAGAAATGGCTCTTGAGAGCATTTCACATTGGACATTTTTTTCACTAAAACTTAAGTTCATGTTCAAGTCAAGTTTATTGTCATTCGTATCACATGCGGTACAAGAAGTGGAACAAATTATGTACTCAGGGTCTCGGTTACATCCAAAAATAACAAAAATATAAACTATAAAAATAAACTCTAAATAAGGATCTAAGATATACAGGTGCTGGTTCTACAATTAGAATATCATGAAAAAGTTAATTTATTTTAGTAATTCCATTCAAAAAGTTAAATTTATATATTTTAGTCATTCATTACACACAGACTGATATATTTCAAATGTTTATTTCTTTTAATGTTGATGATTATAACTGCAAAGTAATGAAAGGCCCAATTCAGGGTCTCAGAAAATTAGAATATTGTGAAAAGGTTCCATGGGAGTGGTGGCGCAGAGGTTAGAGAAGGTGGGCCTGTGATTGGAAGATCAATGGTTCAAGCCCCGGTATTGACAACATCAAAAATGTGGGTGGGGTAGGTAAAGCGTCCACACCTGCCCCCACCCGCCCCCACCTGCCCCCACCTGCCCCCACCCTCATTCGCCCCACCCTGAGCCTATGAGCAAGTCCCTTAACCCCCATCTGCTCCCTAAACAGGTCTCTCTTGAAAATGAGTTCTCGTGGCTCAATGAGACTACCTGTATAAATAAAGGGGGGGAAAAAAAAAAAAAAATATATATATATATATATATATATATATATAGAAGACACCTTGTGCCACACTCTAAACAGCTAATTAACTCAAAACATCTGCAAAGGCCTTTAAATGGTCTCTCAGTCTAGTTCTGTAGGCTACACAATCATGGGGAAGACTGCTGACTTGACAGTTGTCCAAAATACGACCATTGACACCTTGCACAAGTAGGTCAAGAAACAAGGTCATTGCTAAAGAGGTTGGCTGGACACAGAGCTCTTTGTCAAGCACATTAATAGAAAGGTGAAGGGAAGGAAACAATGTGGTAGGAAAAAGTGTACAAGCAACGGGGATAACTGCACCTTGGAGAGGACTGCAAAACAAAACCCATTCCAAAATGTGAGGGAGATTCACAAAGAGTGGACTGCAGCTGGAGTCAGTGCTTCAAGAACCACCACGCACAGACATATGTAAGACATGGGTTTCGGCTGTCGCATTCCTTGTGTCAAGCCACTCTTGAACAAGAGACAGTGTCAGAAGCATCTCACCTGGGACTGCTGCTGAGTGGTCCAAACTTATGTTCTCTGATGAAAGTAAATGTTGCATTTCCTTTAGAAATCAAGGTCCCAGAGTCTGGAGGAAGAGAAGAGAGGCACAGAATCCACGTTGCTTGAGGTCCAGTGTCAAGTTTCCACAGTAAGTGATGGTTTGGGGTGCAATGTCATCCACTGGTGTTGGTCCACTGTGTTTTGTGAGGTCCAAGGTCAACGCAGCGGTCTACCAGGAAGTTTTAGAGCACTTCATGCTGATCAACTTTAAGGAGATGCAAATTTTGTTTTCCAACAAGACTTGGCACCTGCACACAGTGCCAAAGTTAACAGTACCTGGTTTAAGGACCATGGTATCCCTGTTCTTAATTGGCCAGCAAACTTGCCTGACCTTAACCCCATAGACAATTTATGAGGTACTGTGAAGAGGAAGATGCAATACGCCAGACCCAACAATTCAGACGAGCTGAAGGCCACTATCAGAGCAACCTAGGCTCTCATAACACCTGAGAAGTGTCACAGACTGATTGACTCCATGCCACTCCGCATTTCTGCAGTAATCCAGGTAAAAGGAACCCCAACTAAGTATTGAGTCCTGTACATGCTCATACTTTTCATGTTCATACTTTTCAGTTGGCCAACATTTCTAAAAATGTTTTTTAATATTCAAATTTTCTGAGATACTGAGTTTGGGGTTTTCATTAGTTGTAAGTTATAATCATCAACATTAAAAGAAATAAACATTTTGAAATATTTCAGTCCGTGTTTAATGAATGAATATAATATACAAGTTTCACTTTTTGAATGGAATTACTGAAATAAATCACCTTTTTCATGATATTCTAATTTTATGACCAGCAGTACACTAAGATATATGCTAAACGGATGCTAAACAATACTTTAAAACACCTAAGATATACGTTAAATGCTAATAATGTAAAGTAATACGGTGTATTAAACAGCAGCCCGAACATGAGTCTGTAATGAGCAGATGAGTATGAATGAATATAGCAGCATGAGATAATCAGCAGCAAATAATCATGTTCAGTTATGCACTCAATACTTGGTCGAGAATCCTTTTGCATGAATGACTGCTTCAATGCGGCGTGGCATGGAGGCAATCGGCCTGTGGCACTGCTGAGGTGTTATGGAGGCCCAGGATGCTTCGATAGCGGCCTTAAGCTCATCCAGAGTGTTGGGTCTTGCGTCTCTCAACTTTCTCTTAACAATATCCCACAGGTTCTCGATGGGGTTCAGGTCAGGAGAGTTGGCAGGCCAATTGAGCACAGTAAT